ATAGAGGGGAATTACGCTACGAGGTAGATCTTCATTAGGGTTGAGGTTGATCTCGATGTGACAACGCGATCACATCTCACACCGCGTTTGAGATCACGGCGGGCATGCGAGTCGGCATCATTGCTTGTAGCTGCTTTGGTTTAGCGGCGAATACATTGCAGCAAGGGCTTTGCTCCGGGGACGGCGAAGAAGAGTACAATGCCCAACATGGCGATGTCTTTATCACGGTGGGAGAGATCACTCATGTTGGCGCAGAACATGTCGAATACAACACGAACACTGCTCTGGGATTCTCTGGGGGTGCCGCGGTTCTACTGGATAATGACAGCGAGTACCACATGTGCGTCCTGGCAGCCCATGCGGGTTACTCCGAATCCAAAGGTACGAACTTTGGCTTTTTGGTTGCCAAGAAGGCCAAACAGTACTGGTATGGAGAGGCCCAACAGGATGTTTGAGATTATCGGCCGAGTCTTGCGGGATGACCGTCTCTTTCTGGAGGGGGCGAGTCGAGTCGGTTATACTATAGTTCGTGGTCCCCTTTCTCTTGTACCAAGGACCTTTCTCGGGTGGCCGTGAGCTCTAGGCATGGACATTGTGTTGGTACTGTATTTTGGCTACAACTTTATCTACATAATCTACTTTGTACAAACAATTTATCTTCTACGTATTGGGATCCGCCACAGGCTCTGTTCGATATGAGGATTGGAGGAGGAAAAGTTGTTGACCCTGAGGTCTGGGAGTATGGGAGGGTTTTGAAAATTTCACAAATGACTAACTATCAACTACATGTATTCATACGCTATTGTTTTACCGAACATCATCCCAATTTGACCAAACCCAAACAAAGGAGGGAGAAAAAGAGGGCAAAACGCAGACAAACCTCAATCCTTAATTACATTTTTAAAAGCCCGTCAACATCGTTATTTCTATTCGTCATAATGGATTCGGCTTTTTTCAGCGTTCGTCTCCTGTTTCCTCAGTTTGCTCCCTACTTGGATCCATATGACGAATACATGCAATCCAGCCATTGTAGCCAGCTACGGTACCGTAGGCAGAGAGTTACATCGATCCGTGACAGTGGCAACAGTACCGAACACACTCAGGTTCCGCTTTACTGGCTACACTCCGTTACCGGTACCTTGCATTGGATCCTTATGACGAATACATGCACAACCGAACATTGTCAATCCAGCCATCGTAGCCAGCTATCGTATAGCTAGCTAGTGGCAACAGTACTTGACTTGCGCATACAGGAAAATGGGTACCGAAACAGGAATCACCACCAAAACAGTAGGAAATAACAAGAAGGGATGAATCCGGTAGGAGGATCCACTCTCTTGTGTGTTGTTGCCTCTTCCGGTGGCTGTTGCCTTTCAATGACTCGACGACGATAGGCTCCTCTGTTCAGGCTGTTGGTAGGGCTGGAGTTAAACATACTGGTGCAGGCTTCAGATGTGTCAATAGCTAATAATTTGTTTGGCAAGACAAGGGCTGCATGTCCCTGTCATTCATGAATAGCTACACCTCCCTAGCATAGCTACAGTATTAATTAATTTTTTTTTGCAAGCAAAGGTATACTAAATATTGTAGCTAGAAGCATCCTCCATCATTACCTTGTACTCGGAGTACTCGGAGTACATGCCAAGAAACGCATATGAAGATAGAATGTGCTGGTCAGAGCTGCCATGATCCTACCTACAGGTACCATCCCAGTGCCATCCGACCAGCGATTTTCCAAGCGGTGGAGCTAAGGATAAGGGGGATATACTAGTAGTCCAGAGTAGGGAGGTTGGTACCGTTTCGATCGGTGGTGTCGGCAACTATCGCTCAACCGGCAATGGCTGGCTTTGCCCAGCCACACCTGGCTTGCTAGCTACTACTAGTGGATATACATGTATGACAAGGTGAAACTGTTCGGCCCGTGGGTTTGGGTTAATTCAGCAAAAAACAGCACCACAGTTCCCCTCACCCACATCGGTACTAGCTAGTAGTGCTACTAGTGGTATTCCCATTTCCCATACCTACTACTAGCTACCAGCTGCTAGCTAGACGCATACTTCTAGCAATTATTTTTTGCAAGCCAGCGTCTGGCGACATCCAGCCATTGCCGGTTGCGGGTGGCATGAACGGGTACGGTTGGGCGGTTGGGCAGCTGGTAGCATGAACGGGTATCATGTGTTGGACAGGCAGTAGCATGAACAGGTTGTATGGGCACCAGCTAGCTAGGCGACCACTTATCTTTTGTACAGTATCTTCAGCCACGAGTCCCACGACCCAAGATGAACTTCCAACAGTTCTCTGCTCTTCTCTGCCAGATGACTGACATTGGTCTAAGTATCTTTCTGAGAAAAGCCTTCACCAACCGGTATCGTTAACAAATCTTTTTCCTATTCATCTGTCAGTTAATTCTTTATGAACTCACTCAGCTTCAAAAGAATCTGGCAGAGCAGTTGTCACTCACGTGGGCCTGAGAGGAATCCATTCAGCCTTACAAATTTAGAATTGGCCTCGCCATCCAAGGGTCGAAGGAAGGAAAGGAAAGAGAAGTGAAGAGAAGAGAAGTGAAGGTTCAAACATCCCGATGAAGTTGTTTACTTATCTTCTCGTCGCGGCGGCCTTGCCGTTGACCGTGGTCAATGCTGGTCATATCAGCACCGTAAGTATCCGGCACTTGCTGTCGTTGGAATGACAATATGGGTTGCATTGTTGCGTTGATCACTTGGCCATGAAATCGTTTCACTCACTCTGCTGGCGACTCTCTCCCTCTTGTTTAGTTGCGTGGTGCGGAAGCTGCTGAGGAGCCGCAAGTTAGCAGTACCATTGACTTCTTGAGACGCCTCAAGACGATCCATGAAGCGGAAGAACCTCGAAAGCAGCTTGAGTTCAAGGACGACGTGAACGAAAGAAGGCTGTCCAAGAAATCCTTCAACGGCAAGACCCCTACAACTACTGATAACTGTCGTTGGCTCAAGAGGCGAAAACCAGGATGCGAAAAGAAACCGGCTGGTGTATGTGCTTCCTGGTCTGGAGATCCTCATTTCAAGGTACGATGCAGCTCTTGCTAGCTAGCCGCACTTGTTTTACTTTTTACTTGTGCAGAACCAAGCGATGCATGTCTTCTAACCACGCTTGCTGTGTTTCCTTTTTGTGTTTCAAGACGTTCGATAGCCTCAAGTATGACTGTCAAGGTGAAGGTGTCTTTGATATTGTCAAGTCCGTCAAGGATTATGATTCAATGGATGCTACCGGATTCAGCCTGCAAGGACAATTCGTCAAGTACGTCGCGTCTCGAAAGCCGACAGTCACAAAATCTGTTGCTTTGAACACTGGTGACGGAGAACCAACCATCCAGATGACTGTCCCCGATCAACCAGCTCCGGGTGATAGCAACGGGTGCGGTCCTGACTTGTACATTGGTGGCAAGCTGATTGGTACCTGGAATGAACTCCCGAAGCTCCAGAATATTGATGGAATGAAAGTCAAGACAACAAAGTCGAAGAAGGAGAAGGGCTATGTCATCAAGTATCTGAAGTCGGAAGTAACGTTGACAGTGAGCGCCAAGAAATCCAACCAAAATGGATGTGTCATGCGTGCTGAGATCTGCCTCCCCGATTGCTACGATCGTATCCTTCGCGGCGAGAAGTTTGTTGGGTTGCTGGGTAAGTTGTCGTCGATCACCATCAGCGTCAGTCCTGTGGATGCTTGTTCCCAGCCACGGAGCCCCTCACCATTTTGAATCGTTTTGACTTTCAGGTACACCCAACAAAGACAAGAGTGACGATTGGAGAACCAAGGATGGTGGCATTGCAGAAGTGAGCGCGAAGAACTACAAGGCTGAACTCGATTGGTGTACAAAGAACTGGTGTGTTCCCAAGAAGAGCGAAAACTTGCTCGTTTTTGATGGTGAGGACTCATTTGATTCGATTCAAGAAGACTGCACTGATCAGGAGATGGACCAGGATATCGCAGACTGCATCGCAGAACCTGGAGACGACCTGGTACAAATTTGCGGCAGCGGCAACGTACCATGCATTGTCGATGGCTGCGTTGGTGGAGCCAAATCCGCCAAACTTTCCGTGGAAGCTTCTCTGAACCAGGTTGACAAGGATTGCGGTAAAGAGGTTTACAGCCAGAACTTTGACGAGCCCCTTTCAGATGAAACTTTGAAGGTGCTAGAAAAGGCAAAGGGAGAACTCGACGACCCTGAAGCTGTCAAAGTCACCAAGTTCCTCGAGTTGTCGTCAGCGTCGCCGCAGTTTGACTTCGAATTTGACGCGGATGAAGACGCCGCCGTTGTCACTGTCGAGTTCCAGTTCTTCGAGATCGGAAGTTGGGATGCAATTGGTAGCGACAAAGATTTCGTGTATGTGAGTGTCGGAGGAACCGAAATTGACCTGTTGTCATTGCAGGGCGGAAGCGACGAAACAGACACGGATGGCGTGACTGCAGGTATTTACTGGTCTCGTAGAATGATCACAAAGACTGGAGACTTGGGTTTCGGTGGCACCCAGGATCAAATGCACAAGATATTGGTCAAGATTCCACCGGCATTCTTTAAGTCCGGAGCAGTAGAGTTCTCGATTTATGTAAAGGTGTCTGAAGACGACGAAAAGGGCGGCATTGACGAGATTCGTGTCACTGAATTCTTTGATAACTGCGGGATTGACTGCGAGGGCGCAACAGTCGTTGCCGAGGACTTTGAACAGGATGACGAGACAGGTTGGGGTGGTGTTCAACCATCAACACTAGCCAGCTTCGGAGGCATCTCAGTTCTGGGGCCCATCGAGGGCGATGCCGTTGCGTCGAAGACATTTGATGTATCCGAGTATGCAGATAGTGCGGAGATTCAGTTCTCGCTTTACGTGACGGACACTTCGGCGTGGGAAGCCGACGAGGCGGCTAGGTTTGATGTCACAATCGACGAGGCTAAATTTGACTTGGGCTACATCGAAACCACCGATATGGGTGAGGTGTCAGGCTCCGCTGGCTGCGAGGTCAATATTGAAGATGATTGCATCCTTTGGAGTCGAAAGGCAAAGACAGTTGGCAAAGGCGCAGTTTTCACCGTCATCATCAAGGTTTCAGACGAGTTTATTGACGATGGACAGTTGGAAGTCAGCTTTGGTGTCACCGGCGATGCTGGGGCCAGCATTGATGACTTCAACATGAAGGTGTATCCAGCGAAGGAGAAGTGCGAACCTGTCAAAGAAGATGCTAAGATTATTGCGGATGAAAAGGACGTCAAGAAGTGCGAGTCCAAGAAGAAGCAGAAGTATGCTTGGAAGAGCAAAAAGAAGATGGAGTGGGTCGTCGATAATTTCCCCTACACAAAAGAGACCCTAAAAGACATCAAGCAGAATTCAGACGGTGTTACTCAATGGATGAGTGATCCCAAGGAGCCATCATGTTGGGAAATGGTTGAAATATGCACGGGACCTCCCACTCCTTCACCCCCTACCAGCCCTCCAGGTGTGCCTACACCAAAACCTACAAATCCCCCCACACGAAGACCTTCAACTCCATCCCCTACAGCAGTCCCCACATATGACACACCCACTCCCAGCGGAATGTAAGTAACGAATTGTACCTCAATCGTTCTACACGATCGAAATAGGCGCACAAAGTGAGCTAACTAACGGCAATCGATTCTCTCTCTTTTTGAAGTGCCACCGGTGACCCGCACATCAAAGTAAGTACCAGTATCCTGAAATGAAATGTTCTATGATTGTTGGCGTTGATTGGTGTTGAATGACGTGGATGACCAACGACCCTCGAGCGATGCTGGCTGGGCTGGGAATCCTTTTTGCGTGTGATAAATACTCACCGTTTCGATTCCCCTACTTGGTGCAATACAGCGTTGGAATGGTGAAGGCTACGACGTAAGTACAGCATGATGTGTTTGGCTCGTGTATTGAATCGCTCAATTGTTGAAGCTTACCTCAACTGATACCGTTTGGATGACTCCTTTATATGATAGTTCCATGGCGAGTGTGAGCTTGTGATGCTTTCGAATCCAAAGTTCAACAATGGACAAGGCCTCTCGATCCATCTTCGCACAAAGATTGTGCGCTGGTAAGTCAACAGCTAGCTATACGAGGGACTTCCAATAATACATCCATCATGGGGCGAGCACAAGAACGCAATCTCACATATCCTACTATTCCTACTCTTTCCGTACCTACTTGACTTACTTGCAGGTGGAGTTACATTGAAACTGCAGTCGTGAAGATTGGCAATGAAACTTTGGAGATCCAGGGTGGCGTCGAGACGAGACGCTACTGGCTCAATGGCAAGCAGCGACATCCCTTCCAGACCAGCCGCAACTTGGACTTTACATTGGGAGGTTTCAGTGGACGATTCCGCGCCAAGAACCAGCATGTCATCCAGTACAAGATCTTCCTGCCCAAGGGCCAGGTTCTCATGATTCGTTCTGTCAAGGACATGCTCCGTGTCGAGTTGGATTATACCCTCATCGAGGACTTTAGAGGTAGTCTTGGAATCATGGGTGAATACGGAACGGGCAACTTTGTGGGTCGCAATGGAACCATCTTCCGGGACGATGACACGGATGCCTTTGGTATGGAATGGCAGGTTCGTCCTTCGGATCCACAGATCTTCCATTCCGTGGATGGACCTCAGTACCCCGTGCAGTGCAAGATGCCAACAGCGACACAGACAGCTCGTCGTCTCGCTTCCACCATCTCCCGATCGGCTGCTGAAAAGGCATGTGCGCGTGTGGGTGCTGCCGATGAATTCCGCAACTGTGTCGCCGATGTCATGGCCACGGACGATATCGACGCTGCGGAAGGATACGAAGACTTATTGTAAGCCGCGTGTTGGGGGGGCCAATAACCTCACAAAGACAAAAAGAGTCCAGCCAAGTTATTAGAACGTCAGCAAAAGGGAGCTGACAATACCAATGCATGTTATGAAGAAGAGAAAAATCAGAACGAGAATCGAGATGTTACAACGAGAGATCGCATCGAATGGTGCCTGATCCTCAAGACTACTTTGTGTCGGCTTGTTTAAGTTGACATAAAATAGGGCCTTTTCTCGTATTACGGATGCATCTACCGGCACCGGTACTAGCTAGTAGCTAGTCACTTGCTTGTTTGCAATCGTCTGTCATTGCCCTGAAGCTATATCAAGTTCCCCTCCGCAGTTTGAAACGGTCAGCCGTGATGTTGTCGAAGCCGTGTTGTGTTGTTGTCCAAGAAGGCGCCATCCCGGGGCAGCTGACATGATGTTTTGCAAATCCATGGTCCAATCTGCCCCCCTATACAGTTACGAGACTTGGGTCATTGCACCCAAGCTCCTCAGGGCTTCCACAACATAGTCGCCCACAGATTGCCCTACCTCGGCCGCGCCTGAAGGTTGGGTTTACCCCCCAATTTACCAACAAGCCTACAAAAGTGTTGGTCTGCAGCGACTCCATCATGAGTACATCCATTGCTGATAGCTAGAATCATATTGCACAATACATTGCAACCTTCCTCGACCTTTGCGAAACGGCACAACAGGATCCACTTCTCGAATCCGTTGGTGGACCCAACCTCGTTGCGGCACAGAGAACTCCTCTGATGCTTCGTCATCGTCGTCGTAGTGTAGTAGCTCAGTAGCTCCAACCCGAGCTCGAATGCGTAGGAAAGTATCATATCAGTAGTAGCCAGTCCTCTAGAGGTGACAATAGAGCTCTGGGAGCCTCTGCCCTTTTGGGCATCCGGTGTTACCCAACCTTTCATTGTCACCGGATGCAAGTCAACCAACCAACCAATACCAAGTTCCTCCCCTTGAGGAGAGCTATCAGTGTGGCCCATTTAGCTAGCAAGCTATGTATTGATAGGCGAGAGGAAGTCTTTGGGAAGTGTATGGACAAAAAGTGTAGTTATTCAATATAGATGACTATTGTAGTCGTCTGCTGTTTCTGTTTGTGTTCTTCTTAGTCAGGCAGTCTACTAGTCTAGGCAGCTTTGGATGCTACACGAGTATGCTGTGTGCTGGCTGTGCTTCGTGCATAGCTACTGGTATCGCCGGACCGTGAGAGTTTTTCACTGATATCGTCTCCTTGGCTACTCCCCGCAAAGGACATGCTACCCCGCCGTCGGGGAATTCTGGGTGGTGCTGCCAAAGAATTGGATGTACACGACATTCGACGAGTTGGTGGGTGAGCGGCGTCCGTTGGCTCTACTGCTGGAAAGGAACAAGACGAAGATCCCACTAGACTCTTTCGTCTTCGTGGAACTCTTGGAAGTCCCGAGTCGGGAGCATGGCCCACCACTACTCGTTCGTTGATTTGGGGAAGTACCGTTTGATCCGAGACGCTCAGGCTGGAACGGTGCAGCGAAGATTCACCAATAGAACTCGTGCTTCGACCACCGAGGCTACCAAAGGAGTCGTCAAATGATACCATAGAGATGGAACTGAAAGATTCATCGGGGGAAAACGGCTTGCTGCTGAGGGAGACAAAGCGTGGGATCGTCATGGTGGATAGTAGTAGTTCGTGGTGTCCTTGCAAAAAACAGGTCTCTCAAAAAATGAGGAGGAGGACTTCGGCACTTTCTCTTTCGAGTGTTAGCTAAATGACATAGCTGTTCTTTTGGGGCAATTCAATCCCTCATTGGATATCCTTTGGATTTAGGCCTCATGCTAGCTAGCTGGTACTAGTACCAGTACCCGATCACATCCGATGACTCTGGGTTGGTCTTATTATCGTCGAGTCAGATAGGGTCTTCATCCTTTGACCATTACAATAGAATAAACAGTAGACTAAAATGTCAGCATCGAACCCAAATCCACGAATAGATCAAAAGCTGTACAGTTTCATCCTTAAGACACAAAGGTACAGTATTGTCATACGATTTTTGCAAAGAGTGACTAGATTAAGTAAATTTTACTCTATTGTGCCTAGGAATGCCGCCTTGTGGAACGGCTGTCACAATGTACAGTCCACTCACAGTGGTTTCTACGAGTACTTCAACCAAACCCATTTTTAAATAAGAAGACCGGTACTGGTCTGCATGTCCGGATCTTACAGCGTAAAGAATTGCGACAAGATGGTGCCTTTCAAGTTTTCTAGCTAGTTGTACCGGTGTCTACCTAGCTAGCAGCATGTCCGCTCCTCGATACTAACAGTACTCATCCACAAGCTCCTACAAGGTACCTGTATGTATCCTGTTACGATAGCTGTGATAGGCCGATAGGCCATAGCCAGACAACTGCCGATGGCTGCACAGAGCCCTAGACTACTTGTATCCGATTACCGACACAGACTTTCTACTACTAGCTAGCTAGTGTTCCATTGCACTTGCCATTCTTTGACGATTACAGTGGTAATTAAGATCGTTGAGTTTGAAGGAATCATTCGATTTGGATCCAACAATAATGTTGGTTACAACTCATGAGAGACGATGGAACCTATTCCTTGCGGGCATCTCTGCCTCCTTGAGAATGAATGTACTATTGGTAGGCTCAAACTAGGTAGGCATTGGCGGAGTTAGTCGGGAAGGGCTGTGTTTTTGCGAGCAGCTTCCAGGATCTTCCAAGCGACGCCTTTTTTGCCTGGGCAACATTTACCAGCCCACGTACGGTACATGTATGTAATGGTCTGTTGTTTCTTGCTTGCTTGGCTCTAAGCTTGGCCTTAGCCCGGCCTTCATTAGGAACTTTGAGGAACTGAACATTTGGCAGACTAGGTTGGCGAAACCTCCGAGCTACGTAGCGGTACGACTTGGCTCTGAGCTTGGCCTTCTAAAGCTTGGCCTTCCTTCATTGGGAACTTTCAGGATCTGAACATTTGGCAGACTCGACTCATTTGGCGAAACCTCCTACAGTACCTTCGTAGCGGTGCGACTGTACAGTATTGGTACGGCAGGTACCGGTACCAGTACCAGGTGGCTAGAAAGAGAGCTGCTCGGCTTGTTGGGCAGGATGCTTACTGGTACCGCTGGCTCATACACAAGCCATTTGAGCTGGTCGATAAATGTGGGGCTAGGCGAAAGGATTAGTTGCAAAATTTGAAGGGTTAACGTTAACGTACAAAAGACAGGCCGGCTTTACCTCTTACCCTTCTACTTTTTGATGGTCTGCCGCCATGCCATGCACTGCAGCCCACCATCTCGATCGTCCACAGCAGCAGCAACAGTCCTTCTTGCTTTCAACCCTCATCCATCTCTCTTAGCAGCTATCTTCTCTAGCTAGCTAGCCAATACATTGAAGTGACCATGGCGAAAGCACCCAAAGCCGATCTCGTGACGCGAGACTATACAATCCATCTCTCCAAGAGAATCCACAAGCAACAATTCAAGAATCGAGCTCCCCGTGCGGTCAAGGAGATTCGCAAATTCGCCCAAAAGACCATGGGAACACAGGATGTCCGCATGGACTCGAGATTGAACAAGTTCGTATGGTCCACTGGTATCAAGAACCCTCCCACTCGAGTACGCGTCCGTCTGTCGCGAAAGCGCAACGAAGATGAAGAAGCCAGTGAGAAATTGTACACCTTGGCGCAACTCGTCGAAGTCGCGTCCTTTAAGGGATTGCAAACAGAAAATGTCGTCGAGGCCTAAGCAAGCAATACAAACACACTATTGGAGAAGCGAGGAGGAATGGAGTCGAGTGGAGTTTTAGGTAGCTAGATTGGTGTAGCTATCTGTGGCACTTCGCTTGCAGGCAGTGCTTCAGCCAGTGGCTGGATAAACTCTAGGGTGGATTTAACAAACTATCTTTCATGCCTACTTGACTTGCTTGCTTTTGTAGCTAGCTAGTTTGATGGTTGGATCATAGGGAGTGTGCAACTCTAGCTAAAGCTTGTGGAGATCAGTCTACCTGCTGGTTTCCGGTACGACGTATCACGCCCTGTATGAGCCGAATGAACCAAGAGAAGAAGCCCACAATAATCTTCAAAAGATGGTAACCGCCGCGTACCTATTACCACTGGTACCTCCTTCATGCTTGATCTGATTTACTTGGACTCGACTTTGCTTGTCTTGGCTTGGATGGCATTTTGCTTGCAAGGAACAAAGCCAAACCCTTTGCCCCCCGTAATGGTCCTCACTTTCTTGCCCCTGATCCCACAGAACCTAGTCCTGAATTTCGACTGTTCTTTGCTTAAGCCTGGCCCCGGCTGGCTTCCGTAGATAATTTCCCTACTCTAAACCCCCCACTATATACTGAACATTTCTTTGCTGACTTGGCGAGACTCCAGCCAAGCAATGGAATGAGCTGGATTCCCCGCTTCTGGACAGGCGACCAAATACGCTAGGCCCTGTCTACACTTCGGTTTGCTCTATGGACCTACAATTGTGTTGTTCCAGATTCTGTTCCAACAGGTACATGTTAGGAAAGAAGTGATTGTTGCCGTACGAGTATGGATAGCTGTTGCGATCCCTTGTCGGTCTTAGCCTTATCCTTACTGCTAATCATTATCCTTGAGCCGATAGAGCTGGTTGTAGACCGTCATAGCTGGACGAAACACACAAAGGTCAACTGAATCATCTTTTGGCCAAGCAATGCTTCTCCAAACCGACAGCTAGCTAGACAGCTCAAGCCGAAAGATACACAATGGGTGATAGGAGACCAGGAAGTAACGGTACTGTGACATGGCAACCATCACGTTCCCCACGGTATGCATAGCTGTGATTTCCAAACAGGGCCGTTTCATACTGTGGGAATGAATGCGGAACCTCTCGAGGATTGGAAAAACTGAAGCTGCCGGCTTTCAACGCACCACATTGAAAAAATTGTGAGAATGAACTGTTTTGCTAGTACATGTAGGTCCCCTCACTATTTCAATTTCTTTCGCAACCGCCAAAGCCATTTGGTCACTACTATCCATGGCATGGGTAAACTGATTTCTGTGAAACGCAACAGCCTTCGTGGGGCGAAACACGAGGACAACGATGAGGACCAAGAGAAGAGGGTGAAAGAAAGGTAAGAATGATCCATGACGCATGCAGTGACAGACAATAACGTCGTGAGCTGTCAATGTTGCTAACGCTTGATCTCCCATTCTTAGGCTTGTGCAAGATGTCCTTCGACACGACATGATTACCGCAGCGGAGGCGTACCAAGCACATCCTCCGATGGGGGAAGTGGTCGTTCTCTTGTGGCTGTATCGAGACGACGCGGATATAGTCAAGTTTTTGTGCGATTGGATCGAATCGGTACGTTTGGACCAGGGCTGTGCGGCTTTCAGATCTTGTATGAGAATGACCTCACCCGCCCTCGCACGTTGAAAACTGCTCTATTTGCCACACAGAGTGCCTTGAAGCAACCAAGTCTCGTGGATGAAGGAATGGACCCGTACTTGGCCCAGCTCGTGCAAGTCGCGCTTTATTGGGATCCCTGCGACGGAAAAAAGTCAGCCGACAACAATCTTAATGAAACCGAGCGCTTGCTATTGATCTTGTCTCAACTGTCCACCCGCTTTGCGGCTCAGTATCACTGGACACTACAGTCACTGTTGCAGGAACTCCAACCGGAAACGACAAAAGCCCGCCTGAATGTCAAGTTTGACATGCAAGCTTACTCTAGATGCATGGTGCTCCAAGGCAACCTCGAGCGGTGCATGATCGGAAAGGGAACCAGACCAGCTCCGAAACAACCACAGATTGAAGTTCTGACAAAGTACGGCGGAAAGGTTACTGGTGACGAGTATCACGCCATTGGTCACAACGAAGAAGAAACCAACGCGGACTTCTTTCAAACCATTGTGGACCTCGCAGAACACAACGCCACGAAGCTATCACGACCCGAGAGCAAGAAAAAATCGATTGCACGCGACACACCCTTTCTGAAGCGATCGTTCGGAGCGGTGCTTCTGTTCAAGCGGCAGTGCCGCAAGGGCGCTCGTCGCAAGCCGTGGAAGAAACGCTACTTTGCCATTGAGGAGAACATGCTGAACTGTTACAGTCGGGAGCGCACATTGCTGCGATCCATGTCCCTTGAGGGCGCCACGATTTGGAAGGGGCCGCCGCACAAGCACCCTCACTATTTCATCGTTGGAAACGAAGAAAACATGTTCCATTTGAGGGCGTCCTCGGAAGAGGAAAAGACATTGTGGCAACGCAAGCTACGAGAGGTCATTCAGCTGAATCACGACGCGCTCTCTTCGGAGGACCTAAGCGACTCCCAAAAGGAGCGGTACACTAGGTTCCAAAGAGCTAAATGGTTCGGTAGGATGCTGACAGAAACAACGTTTGATCTAGACGGCACGCAGGTGGGGGAAAGGGGCAAACGGCTTCACGAGACCTTCTTTGAAATGGAAATCCCGCAAGATGTATATTGGCCTTGGAACGATGAGGGTGCGAACCCTACGGAGCCGGAAAAGCGAGTGTTTGTCGTCTTGCCCCACTTTTGCCACTTGGTTTCGCACACCAGTGCCACCAAGAGGAAAGATGCCACGCCGCTCTTTCAGGCGAGCTTCCTGCTAAAGGAATCACGAGATGAGGAGAGCAAGGAATCAGCTACATCTGCGAGAGCACTCCTAGCAGAAGGATGGAAAGAAATGCCATCAAGCGTGTTGGATATCCCCGAAAGACTCCTCCAAGTTTCGAGCTCGTTATCGATTCCGGTAGACGTGAGCATGAAGGAGACCGATGGAGGCAGCGTTACAGGAGAAAGCACAGACGGTCTCTCGACAGAAAGCGTCTCCACGTTGGAAGAGCCTCCTTCAATGGATGTCTCCAGCGACAGTGTAACGGAAGAAGAGGCAACCTCTATGAACGACAAAAAAGAAGCCGCTCTCGGCAGCGACAACAACAACAACGGGGAGGTCTCTCTAGATGGCGACGAGGGGAACAGCGACCACAAAGGCGACCACAAAGGCGACCACAAAGGCGACCACAAACACAAAGAGCTCGAGCCAGAAGAACATGCCAATGGCGCCAGTCCTCATGATGCCAAAGTCACAGACGCGAAGGACCCTAGTGACGCAAATGACACGAAGGAGCTCGACGAAGCGACAGAATCACTGCAAGGCGACGACTTGCCAACCGATCAAAAGAACTGGATTGAGCTCGTACTCGACACGAGAATCCAAAGTGAGCTGACAACCCGAAGTGATCCGACGATAGAAAGCAACGATTCGAGACAGAGCACAGGAAGTAAAATGACGACGAAAAGTACCGACTCCTGCGAGAGCAGCGGCAGTGACGTTGCCGAAAACGAACTCGACAAGGTTGTCAAAGACAAGGAAGGAGACGACAGCGGAAAGGGAGAAGAGGAGACGAAGGAGGAAGAAGAGGAGAAAAATGAGGAGAAGGTAGAAGTGGACCGGGCTTCTCTCAAGTACACCAGGACATCCGAAACCACAAAAGGATTAGTGTCGTTGCGGACGAAACCATACCAATGGCAAGAGATGCTGGCAGCGCAGTTGGCTCAATACTACCATTCACTGTTTGTAGGCACCAAGATTTGGGTCCGGCCGCCTCGGCTTCAGAGACTATCAAACGACCTTGTTGTCACAGAGACGCCCAAAAATGCAACTACCATTGCGGACGCCAAAGCATCTGTGGAGAATGGGTCAACTCTCGTGGATTACTTTGTAGCATGCCATGGCCCTGTGGGATCCGAAGCCTACCAGCTGGCCCGAGAGTGCTTTGCACAGAGCCTCGCTGGATTATCGGTCTTGTCGTACCTGTTCGGGATCAAGAATCGACACGATGGCAACCTGATGCTCGACAGCAGTGGGCACATCTTCGCATCGGACTTTTCGTGTGTGTTTGGTAGAGACTTGAACGGAATCAGTACAGCCATGGAGGTTGCCCCCTTCAAGCTGACCAACGAGTACATTGATTTGATGGGTGGGGCCTCATCAAGCTGCTACGACAACTTCTGTGATCTCCTAGATTCAGGATTGCGATTGGCTCGTGACAAGGCTGATGTTGCGACCCAGCTTATCCAAGTGGCGGCAGGCATCAGCAACGACGACAGCAAAGTGAAAGATCGGGTGGTGCGCCAGTTCCAGCAAAAGGTAATGCTTGGTGACGTGTCTGATGAAGTGGTAAAGAAAAAGTCCAAGTCGCTGATCGAAAAGTCTCAAAGAAACATCATGACGGCAGCGTACGACGCCATGTCCAACAGGAGACTCTCGCATGGCGTCGAAGTGTAGTCTTGCTGCCTGCTGTGTGAGTGCGAGGGAAACTTTGCGGCGTTCAAGGCACCAAAGGCTCCTTTGAGGAGGTCCCATCAGCTGCATTTACTGCACGTAAAATTACATAAATTCACCAAAGTGTCGCTTACCGCATCCTGGTCAGGCCCAACCAACATGAACAACTCCGTTCCCATTAGCTGGCATGATCAGCTTCAGCCCCTCATGGATGCTGATAGTGCACTTGAGGCACTAATCCACTAATTTCAATGTCTCCTCCAGCCAACCCCTTCTGCCCCCTCACTTCTCCCACTGCCGCTACCACTTTCTCTACTAGAGCGCCACTCAACCTCCCTCCATGTGGCTGTTCTCATGTTCTCTACCTTGTTCTTTGCATCTCCCCCAAGGCCCCAGCCTCATTCCTCCTCCACAGGTGGCCCATGCACTGTGCCTAGCTTAGCCCCCCTAGCTAATCCTGATGGTGCATAACCCTTCCAGCCGACAACGATGGCATTTCTTCCCCTGCTTCCACACGACACAGCCACACCCAACCGGACTTTAAGAACTAAACTAGCTACTAGTCAGCCACCACAATAATATTGCCGTTCTTAGAAACTTCCGCTGTGACCGTTCAATTTTCAAAAACGAGGATCCCCAAAACAGCTGTTCCTCTTGTATTTATCGCGAAACAGCGCAACTGCATGCTACAAACACAATGGCAAACATGTTGTTTTGCAGCAGATTGAGACTGAATCCAAGGCAGGCAACTGTGCTTGTTGTCTGGTTATGGCTGTCTCTGTCTCAGCTGCAGATACATATACCAGTGTATGCCTTCCAACCAATCACAAGAGATGCTCTGCTATCAACTCCATCTATATTGGATCCCAAGTTTCAATCATCATCATGGCCACCAACTGGTAGTACCACCACAACTACTTTGTACTCCCAACGGAGAGAAACTGTAGAATTAAAAGATCTGCGGCAAAAGGCACTCCAAATGAGACTCAAAATGACAAAGAAAGAGACTGCCAAAGTGATCCAAAGGGGGCCACAGTTGCTGTCATGCAGAGAGGCAAATATCCTACAAACAGCCGACTGGATCCAAGATTATCTACAACTCAATGACAAGACATTAAAGAAGATTATCATCACAAATCCTTCCATCTTGGGCTATAGTGTCACAACACTAGCGGGGAAGACAAAGTACTATCAGGAAACATTTGGTTGGAGCATTCAGGACCTAGTAAAAGTTTTGACTGCTTTTCACATTATGAGTTTATCCATTGAAGAGAACCTTGAGCCAAAGCGAAAATGGCTCCACAAGACATTAAATGTTACCAATGATGGCATCTCCAAACTCATCCAGAAGAACCCAGTACTGCTTAGTGCTAACCTGGATGACATGGTTGACAGATTGGAATTCCTCCAGGGCCAGTTGGAACTCAATTCCACCGAAGCAATACAGAAATTTGTTTGGAAAGCTCCTGGAATTTTTGTTTTCACCAAGGGCCTATTGGAGGAGAAGATTATGTGGTTCCAATCGTCTTCCCTTGGCCTGACAAAAAGGGAGATGTCAAAAGTGATCAGAAGTCAACCTACATTGCTTGCCAGTAGCATTGAAAACAATTTGGAACCTACACTACAGTGGCTGAATGATCGCTTTGGTCAGACTGAAACCAAAAATCTGGTTACGAGCCTACCTTCGATTCTGGTATGCAGCGTACCAAAGAAGCTTGAGCCACAGTTGAGGTATCTCCAAGTGTTATTTGAACTAAATGAGACTGAACTCTCAAGTATGGTGTGTAAGCTTCCATCAATTCTGGGCTTCACCCAAACCAGCCTGGAGGAGAAGTTGCAGTTTTATGCAACATGTGTTGGATCAAGGCCTGAGGCACTTGAATTCATCAGCAGAAATCCACGTCTATTCAGTGCTAGCCTTGGAAATCGGTTGATTCCAAGGTGGGAACAAGTCATGGAACTGGACCTGCCAGAACGTGGGTTCACAGTGCCGATATCGATCCTTGCAACGTATACCAATACAAGATGGGAATTGTATTTGGCACGAAGGAGGAAGCTCATAGTAAATTCGGGTGACTAGTAAGTTTTATTCGTGCCGTAGTGCATGCTAAGATTCGCGCCTGCCCTGGTATGGTGTTGGCTGTTGGTACCCAATCGGGCAGCAGTTGATCCACAAGCGCCGGTAGGGTACGTTACCTACATGTACGTACCGGTAGAGGCACCAGCAGCGGGGGAGTTTCGTTGCGTATGCGGCGACAAGGACAACAACGAGTAGCTTCGGGGCACTCATGCTCTTGCCCAGCTCGATCTCCACCGTTCGGATTGCAAGGTAGTACTATTATAACTTGGCAGCCAAGGAGAGTAAAAAGCAAGAGAGCAACAAGCAAAAGAGGCTCAGCCACCACAACCGTTGGATTCAATTCGGATTGCGGTTTCCTCCTCTCCTCAAGGTAACTCCAAAACAAAAACGATTCGGATTTGGTGCGACCACGTTGCCTTGCAGGGCAAAGCTCGAGGAGTCTGCCTCCACACTGGCACCAGGCTGCTTGCTGCTGGCCTTGCCTCAACACGAAAATCGAAGCAAAGCGGCTTCCATGCTACGTTCCTGATGGTTTAATGTTGGACGAATTCCCGTTTCTAAACCTTTGTTCCTTGAAACATCGATAGGCATCTACTCGTTCAGTTACTATTGATAGCCGTATGCATAGCTTCAAAAGCCAAAAAGATGATTCGGATTTGGTGATCATGTTGCCCTGGACACCATAGCTCCTCGAGGTGCCCACACTGGGCTGCTTGCTGGCCTTGCCTCCTCAGCCAGCACGAAAACCGAAGCAAACAACTGCCATGCTACGAAATACGAACTACAGGCAAAAAAAAAGTACATCCAGAACAGCAGCCAAAACAACCTTTTCAGCCCTTGATGTTGGGCATCCTACCACCACATCCCGCCCCCCGCCCTTCAATGGAATCATTTATTATTAAGCTGTACGTTGCACAACCAAAGAAGTCCTATCCAGTGAGGTAAGCATGATCTGGAATACAACTGGGTCCGGCCGCAGACCGCAGAGCAACCTGAAAACATTGCTGGGATTGCAATCTCACTGGAGCCAGCACAGGATGGTACCGTACCGGTGGCCACTTGCTTACTCGTTGTGCAGGGTTGAAGAACCCATCGAAAACTGCACTGCGCCACTTGAGCTGCCACCCCAAGGTTCCAGGCTGTGTTGAAAGAACTTATAAAAAGCCTCCCGAACATAATATGTGTGACTCGGGTCCACTGTAGTTAAAAGGATGACTTTCCTCAGAGCATTGAGGAGATAGAGTTAGTTCGGCTGTCACCTATCTTGACAAGCATATTTTAAAAGAGACATCTTTTCCATTCTCTGAGCAAACTCGTAAAAATGGCATGCGGATTCTGAACTGCTATCCATCAACAGCAAGCTCCATTAATCAATCAACCACCCCTTACGGTACGTGTACCTCTAAGTAGTCGGCATCTACAAAGGGTAGTCGCGGTAATATTGGAGTAAAAGTTTCGATGTAGTCTGCATTATTTACCGCAATTACCTAAACTCTAAAGTGCTCTTCCTGAGCAGTCTACTACTAGTACTCGAGTATTACTGGTACACTGAACACGAAGAACTCTCTTCTCAGAGGTTCTCTTACTTGGCTGCCATGTATGTTTTCTTCGCCTTCGTGTGCCTTCGATCGATCTGAAACAAAATTTCCAGCATCCATAAAACTGAATGCGACAGCATAGCAACATGAACCTGAATCCACCATGCCCTTTGAGCCAATTCCTGGGCCAACTCAACCTGGAAGAATGCAGCACTATTACGTTCGACAATGCCAGGGGTTTACCGCAGAGGTGCTCGCAGAGCGCCCAAAAGACGAGACTCAAACGTCCATCATCCGGCCGCTATTCTTGTCGGTGGGAGAGTTCCGCTCCTTCGGCGGCTCCCGTGCAACGAGTGCCACGGAGTCTGTCACCCCAAAAGCCTACCCGTCGGGCCAGCATTGAGAAAACACCACAACTGCCGCCACTCTCCAGGCATCTTCAGTCACCGGAAAAGCCCCAACGAAGAGGAAGCTTCGAAGGCAACAGTGGTTTTCCCCGAAAGTCCATGACTCCCTCTGCGGCATGATTGAATGTGTGCCAGGAATAAAAAACCAAATTTGAAGAGCAGGGCCATAGGGATGGGGTGGGATACGTATAGAAGAGGGGATTCCATTGGATGGAATGGGATAGATTATAGAGACTGGGATAAGGTCATAGAGATTTCTAGCAATATGTACAGAATACGCACATCAAATCACACCACCGATAGAACGGCAACTCTGCTGTAGGCTTTGAAACTTCCGGCTGATTTGGTGCAAACACCACCAGGTGGGTCTTCTACTTCGTCCTATCGTATACTCGCATACAAACATTCCTTGCCCGGAGAGGTAGCTAACTGTATGTATTGCCTTTCCGGAAAGCATGCTCTGAGAAGATACTCGGATTTCGCCAACCACGAAGTTGGCTAGCTAGGTTATAATTTTAGTTTTTCGTCTGTCGTCCTAACGTTTTTAGGGTTATGGGTTTCCACAGGATGGTGAGGCACGGTTCCAGGTACAGTACTAGTATTTTTAGCTTGGTACAGTACGGTTCAGGTTCCGATACTAGTAGCTCTAGCTTGGTAGGTATGGTACGGTTCCGGGTCCAGGTATGGTAGTTTAGCAGAGCCATGGTACTTTGAATGGAACTTGGTATTATGATGGAAGTTGGAGAAGATCTGGGAGAGTTTAGCATGGTGAGGTACGGTTCCGGGTCCGGGTACTAGCTAGTAGCGGGTCCAGGTATGGTAGTTTAGCAGAGCCATGGTACTTTGACTGGAACTGGGTATTATGATGGAAGTTGGAGAAGATCTGATAGGACGGCTAGGGCTGTCACTGGCTGGAAGCTGGGGATAGAGCTAGTTTGGGGAGACCTGTTAGGGCTATGATATCATTGGCTGGGAAGGAGCTGCGACGGAGCCACATCACTAGCTGGGAGAGTTGCTTGCTAGCAAAGCAAGCCCATGCCAGTGGCCAAGCAACTGACAGCCCTCATTTCAATTTCAGTGGTTGGTGCCACCGGAGGCCTCTTGTTCAGGAAGGAAATGTCTTTGATTGCTTCCTTGACGCTTTCGCTCCAGGCAAATGCGCTCCACCAAGGGAGGTTTCTGGATGTGTGGCTGATTGCTTTTGAAGCCCATGCAAACACTTAAAATTTCATAAGACTATTGCATGCATTGGCAAACCCTGGCCGACCATTTATATTACCTGGCCGGAATGTTCAGTGGTTGATTCCCAGCACCTCGAGGTACATGACCCGTCAAGGGGGAAAATGCCAAATCGAATTCTGTTAAATGTAAAAATGTTTGCTTCGCATCCTAGCCTGAAAGCAAGCATGGCCTCTTACCAAGCAAGGCCCTCTCACCCCAACATCAGACAGTTGTCTTATGCATGTCTCAGCATAAGACAGTGGTTGTTGTTTGCTAGTAATACTGCAGCTTATTGGGGAGTAATTTGGTTTTAGATTAAGCTGAAAAGCAAAAGTGAGGATTTTCTGGTGGTGCATAGCAATTCTTGTGATTGAATTGGATATAAGGACCCCCGCAACACTTTAGACCTAAACTCCCTTGGTTCCTTGCATGATCAATTTACATGCGAACCGGACTAGATGATTAATACACGAGTCAATAGTAAAGAGGTGTCAGGTATGTTTCCTCCAACACACTCCTGCACGGTGCCCTAAGTGGCTACCGTGGAACGAATAAAATAAATTAGGCAATCAAAAAAGGGGTGGATGCCCATGATGAAAGCCCTGTGCTCGTGGAAGAGCTTGCCCTGAAGGGGCTTCGTGAAAAAATCTCCACGCATCTCCAAGGTTGGGCAGTACACAACTCTAAGGTTTCCTTTTCCAATCTGGTCATGAATTAAAAAGAAACGAATGTTGATAGCCCTAGTTCTTTTTCCCGAACTGCCTTTGCCATTCTCTGCAAGAATGATCGTGCTTTTGTTGTCCTGCATGAGGATGTTGTCCTTCACAGCGATCCCCTGCTCTTCAAGAACAACTTTGCCCACAACATGGGCGACATGACATCGTCAGCTCCAATCAAATCCGCTTCCGTGCTGCTCCTCGAATTCAATTTCTGTTTCGCAGACACGACAGCACCGCACCACTTCCAAAGGACATGACTCCTCCTGTATGGGAAACGGTAATCGGATGGACTGCAAATGATGCGTCCACCCACCAAGGGATGATGCGTATGTCATCAATGTGTAGGATAAACTTGTCCTGCGCCGTCTGATCCAAAAACTTGAGGCCTTGAACCAACTTGTCCCAATCATCAGATGATAGGGCTTCTGACACGAGTGCATAACACAGTAGTGAGAGTCTGCACATCTGGTCGAGCACGCTTGCAAGGAACAACAGCTTGGCTGCAAAGGTATGATAGGGTTTCTCTGTTCTTGTCATTCAGGATGTGTGCCATCACCAGAGCTGAATAGGTCAGCAGGAGCTGCACTTGGTACCTTCTTCATTGCCCAAAGTCCACTGGAAACTCTGAGATCATTTTCTTGACAAAATCTATCATGTCAATCACAACCTTTCCTGGTTGGAAAAATCCACCGTCATCCCAAGTAGTCATGCTTGGGACCACGGTTTGCCTTTACGGCTCCATAGGGTCCATACCTAGCGTTAAACCATTCAGAGTTTGGTTGTTCACCAACTTCATTCTGTGGCTTGACATTAGGTCGTCAACATGAAATCGGATTGTTTGTTGGTACCCCTCGATCATCGGTTGGCCACACAAGGATCTATTGTTGAACACAAATCCAATTTCTTCGAGGTCGCTCCTGAAGAGCTTGTACCAGAGTAATGCTCCCAAAACCATTCCTAGATGGCTCTTTCCACAACGACATAGAAGACTGGTCGTCCCTTCTTGTATGTCAAGAAAGAGGCATATGTGTCAGGGTCTATTTCAACAAGTAAGTCTGCAAGGTTTCCTCTCAATGATCATGAGGACCCTGTCTTCACCTTGTTTGACTTTTGGCATTGGGGTTTGGATGAACGCATTGGGAACATCCAGGGACATCACATCCCTATCTTCAGATGCATCGACACACATGGATAACATCAACCCTCAAGTGAGACTGTTGGACTTCTGGCATCTCTTTCTGATTGTACACCCTTGTAGGTTTCCATTGTAGACTGCACGGGCCTTGACGGTGCCATCCCTTTTCCCACTCACAAACATGAGTGCCATTTGTGCTTTTTTCAATTCAGAATCACTGCATTTGTTTTGTCGACTGGACTGAAACACCTTGCTGTGTAGCTGGTCCATCTTTTTGAGCGCCGCCTTTCTGCTTTGTTGCCCCACACTTCAGACCCTTGGGTAGAAAATGTTGTTGGGCGTGGCTGCTCTCATCCTTGACTTCTGCTGTGCACTCCTGTGATTACAGGAGTCATGAACAAAGCTAGATGTTTGCTTGTCTCTGTCTCATTCAGTAGTGTTTCTTCGCTTCGTCATCTTGGATGAAGGTAACTCCTTTCTTTGCTTCGGCTGGTGATCCGAGCTGAGCGCGAATTCCAACTCGAGGAAGCTTGGAAGCCTTTGCTGGTCAGCGAGGTTTCCATCATTGGTATCCACTGCTGGTGCCGTCTCTTCAACTGTAGGGTTTGTTGGACTTGTGCTTGTTGGATTCCTTGGAATCCCTTTCTCCTTCTTCATCGGAGTCAATGTCTTGGCATACTGTTTGGATGCCCTGGTACTAGCCTGGGGCGTTCCCATCCTCAGAATCTTCCATCTGATTCGTGCGTGGATTCCACTGGAATCTTCGTCCGAAGAGTCTCCATAGACTTGGAGGTAGCTTCATTTCCATTGACACCATCCACTCCTGCAAGGCAAACCTACAGGTAAAAATTCCACAAACACGGTTGTAAAGATTAGTGGTTTCTTACCTCACCGTATGCCTTCTTTTCGAACAGCATCAATGACCGACGAGGCATCGGCAGATGCGGACATGCTGTCGCGTGATCAACTTCAAAGGTGACGAGGTCCATCACACTGTGTCCACCTTGTGGGTTGTCCACTCAATGGACGGAGATAGATGCAATCCAACTCGCCGGGGCTCCATGGAATTGAGCTTGTCTGGTTCGTTGGAAGCGAGACAATAGCTCCCAAAGGTGTACTGATATCTTTGTAGCTTTGTGGTCGACCCTCCAAGAACTTGCCTTGGAGGATACACTTTGATTCCATCAAGCGCGGGGAAGAGGTTGAGTTACAATTAACATCGTACACAATTCCACAATCATCAACTTTGGCATACCATGAAGCGGTGTTGAATCCTAGGCTGCGCGGATGCGCTCCTTCAAGGTTCTGATGTTCCGCTCGGCGGGATCACTGTGAGTCTGAGCCGTTCCATGGTTCGAGCTTGAGCTCCAATGTCGTTTTTACAGGTCCATCAGGCTCTTGAACTCAGGCGCACTGTATTTCTTTGATCTTGAAATCATTATTTCCGTACCGATCAAAAATTCTTGTCAATGGCGGAATAGAATGATTTGCCTTTACCTGTTTGTAGGTAGGCAGATTCGCGGTGTCGGATTTGCAAGTCAGTGAATGACAGAAAGGCAATCTCACACGACATAAAAACCATCCATGCATCGGTAGGAACCTGTGGACAGTGGCAGTCCATCCGAACTGCAGACCAGGACATGATGTCCGCAAACGGCTATCTCCCAGACCAATCGAGATGGCCACAATGTTTGGACACCAAGCTTACTCAAGAAGAAGGAACACACCTTACGGCAATGGTATATTCCAAATCCAGGAGGCAACGCCAATATCAACGCTCTGATCTCTTGTTGTGGATGACAGCGTAGGGCACAGGATGGATCCTATGTCCTCATGGACTCAAGAGTCGACGACGCCTATCTCACCACTACCGCCCAATCTGGATCCATACCAGGTATGGACGACCGCCAAAGGTCTGTAGGGTGTGGATTGATCAGAGCTCTCCTGGATATTGTCCCAGACTAACAGTGTTCACAGTAGTTCAAGCATTTGGTTCAACGCTTGAGGGCACCTCGAAGGGTTTTACCAAGAAGCAAGCAAAGGGT